ACCTTTCATCTCACAGGATGTGGTTTATACTGCCTGGATATCTGGTCTCTTACTCTTACACTAATTTTCAAGACCTATGATAATAAAAGATCTCTTATAGATATTGTCAGCAATATTTATTTTTATGCATATCAGAATCGTGATTTCTATCATGCATGATTTAGAAATGGGAGAGGTGCCAACAAGGTTTCTTGTTTGTTTTTGTATTATAACACCATCCAACAAACACTCTTTGGCTCCATTATTTATTTTAAATGCACTTAGCTGCCAGGGTACCATGTCTTTTCAATAGGAAAGTTACTGAAAAATATTCCCATAATTTTTATATATAACCCTGACCAAGAACAAACAAAACAATAAGAAGTATGTTAAAATAATGGACTGCCAAGTTGAGAGTGACATGTTTCTCAAAAGAAGTCCTAAATCACCATCAGAGCTAGAATGATTGAGGAAAGCCGAAGCTCAATTTTGTTTAATTGTGTGCTCCTAACCCTCTCCAAGGAAGCTGTCATGTGAAGGGACCTGAGGCATCTGCAATGTTCCCTTAACTGCAGGATACTCAAGGAAACACACTGTGGTCCATTGTGCAGTGGGCTATACGTGCTTGAGATTCCAAGATCCAGGTAAAACCTATACATAGAATAGAGTGAATATCTTACAGTCAGAAATTGCCAGAGAGCAAAAGGAAACAATTAAGGGATAATTAGAAGTATTTTATACCATGTCAGAGAAATATCACAGAGGAAAAAGCCCTAAAGTCTGATTTTGACAGGATTTAGTTTCATAATTACCAATTTAAGTTAGAACAATCTTAGAGCAGTTGTTTTAATTCAGAATGGCTTCAACAGGGAGTACTAATATACAGTTACCTCTCCCTATAAAAGGCAAAGATGGTTAAAATAACATTTCTGAAACTGTGTGAATTAGATGTCTGACTTTGGTGGGGAAAAAAAAGATGAGGGAGGACAAGCTCTCCCTGTCGCTGCCAATAGGTTTTTGTGTGGGATCATCTTTCTTTGCACTGGTTTGTAGTTATACATTGGTTCACAAAGAATGATCTTCCCCAAGAGCACGGGGATCATTTTTATTCAGAGGTATATAAGTAGGTGTGCTACTACGCTAAAACCTATAGGCTACCTCATCCAAACTTATTAACCCATTCAGTTACATATAAATAATTAATTCAAGACTTATTTAGCGCTTACACAACAGGAATGATATAATGGACACATTAAGGAATAGGAAGATGGATAGGCCATTGTTCCCCAGAAATTAACAACTTAATGGCAAAGGAGGGGAGAAAAATGCATATAAATATTCCTTGCAGAATACCAAACACTATACTGATTCTAAAATGCTTCATAGCACATAGAAAACTTTAACTCCATAAGACTCCTAAGGTCACAGAATATCAAAACAATTACATTCTAAAAAGAGACAGGGATTACTGCCTGGACATGGTTACTTTTAAAGCTTTATTTTTTTCCATTTTTCATTTTTCATTGTATAGTGCTGGGCATACACTGGAGGTTTAATAAGTACTACCGACTTTGGGCCTCCCTGGTGGTGCAAGGGGTTCAACTGCAGCACTATGGAGCTATCCGCAGCCATTGCAGCACAACTTCAATTCCCGGCCAGGGAGATAACCCACATGGCACAGCAGACTTGTCCTGAATTTCCCTTCAGTAGTGTATTTCAGTCAATCTGCCTATTCTGTTCCCCACTCTGTCTCTGGTGAATAATCTTGCCCCCCACACCTCTGGCCTATACCCCAGTTCTTGTATGCATGAATAAATCTGTTTAAAGAAACGTACTATTGACTTCACATGCACAAAATGAGACATTCCACTCTGCTGCTTGCTAGGGTAGTCAATCAGTCACAGTTATTCCCAGTTATCACCTTCAGTTTATTTTTAACAGAGTTTTACCTTAATTGACATTTTAAATCCCACCATACAAGATCAGCCAGGGAATTTTATAGTTGCGAGCTTCCTTCTGTGTAACTAGAAGTTGCATTTTAACAACTATGGCAGACACATCACTTCATGGAGTGTTATGTTGCTCCTGGAAGGTTCCTGCAAGTCTATAATCTAATTTGACATTCAGATCATATCTAAGATTAATGGTTTGAACTAACTGTATCTTGGCTTGTATCTTAATTGTATCATTTATGGGCAACCTTCTTAACCCTCTGTGCCTCAGTTTTTCCAGCTACAAATGGAAATCACTGTACTTTGCATTTCTGAAAAAGGACTAAATGAGATAAATTATATAAAAATACCTAGAACATTCCATTAAATTTAGTCAGTGAATATGATTACACTTCTCCATTTCTTCATTAAAGTGACTTCATTATTTCTACTACTTTGTAACCGAAAGGAAAGCTGGTTAAAAAGAACAGGGTGGGGCCTCCCTGGTGGTGCAGGCGGTTGAGCGCTGCACTGTGAAGCTGTCCACAGCCTCTACAGCGCAGGTTTGATCCCGGCTGACCAGTGAGAATCCCACATGGCATAGCAGACCTCTCCTGTCTCGCCCCCCGTCTCCTCTCAGCAGTGTATTTCGTCAGTCTGCCTGTTCTGTTCCTCGCTCTGTCTCTGGTGAATCCTCTCACCCTCCCTCACATCTGGCCTGTACCCCGGTTATTGTATAAATAAATAAATCTTTAAAAAAAAAAACAGGGTGTTCTCATTTATCACCTTTAAATTTGCCAAGAAGTCAATTAAAATGCTATGATAATACAAACTCTAGCAGGTAAGATACTTAGAGATATGCAGGACTTCTAAGTAATAACAACAGTAAGAATATAAAAGAGCCTGACTGAAGACCTGAGCACTGGAGAGGATCCTAAAAACAAAATATAGATTCAGATAGACCTAAATATAGGTTCAGCCTAAAGTTAGCTAAGCAATTTAAGAGAGGTTCTGTGCTTTGAATTTTCTTAAAACATGATATGCATCAAGTTTACTGAGAATGGTAACAGACTTTTTAACTGAAAGTAACTGACTTAATATGCTTAGGGTATAAAACCTAATTATTTTTTGGATGGGTTGGGGATTTTTTTTCAGTACTTTCTTCATCTATTACTCTCTCATAATAGTTCTTTTTATTTCAGAAGCTAATCATATTAAAGCATTTATAAGACCCAAAAGAGTAGAACAAATCCACATAAGCAAATATGTAAGACTGATTATATACAAACACAAATGCATCCACTGTGCTCTAGGCAAAATGTATTGTATTTAGCTTTGAAAGTGATGCAAAAGAGGTAATTTGTTATATTTAAAGAATTTAAAGCAAAAAATAAATTCTGCTTCTCCAAAGCAATCTTATCTGGGAATACATAAATCCTATTCAGAGTTTTTATTGATTACCCCTATGAAAATAGCTATAAATTCACAAAAATAATTCACAAAAAATTCACAATAACCAGACAAGGAGACAACCAAAAAGGTCTTCAATAAATGACCAAATAGAGAAATTTCAGTATATATATATATATGTACTCAATGGAATATATATATACTCAATGGAATATATATATATATGTACTCAATGGAGCATATATATATATATATATATGTACTCAATGGAATACTACGCAATTATTTGAAAAGATGACATGTTGCCTTTCTTGAGGATTAGAACTTGAGGTGATTATGCTAAGCAATAAGTCAAAGTGAAAGGCAATCACTGAATGGCATCTCTCCTATGTGGAACATGAATAAACAAAGCAAACAAATGAACAAAGACCAACAAAAATAACTCAGACTGTGAAAACTATAGCAGTTACCAGAGATGAAGGGAGCAGGAGAAAAGTGTAGAAGAGGTAATTTCATAGTAGGAATGGCACTAGAACTTTGGTGGGTGTGGTGAGACATACACATATATATACACACACATATATATATCACATATAGATATATATCACATATATACACACACACACATATATCAAGGTGTGAAGTTTCAATCCCCAAGTTTAAATAATTTTGTAAACCAATGATGAATACCGCAAAAACTTTTTATTAAAGCACGTTCCCAGGATTTACCAAACAGCCTGGTATATAGTAGGCAATCAACAAGCCTCTATGGAAATTAAAAAAAAAAAAGTAAATGTGTTAAAATCTTGTTTGAATTTTGCAAACTGCAATAAGAATTATCCTAACTTGTCAAGTAAGTAGGTGGCCAAACCAGTACTAAAGCTAAGGTACATAAATTTGTAATTCGTACCAACTGTTTTACAAAATGTTACAATGATCCAGGTCACAACCGCTACCTTATTTGGAGTTGTAATAACTATGAGAGAGAAGTACAATTCGGTCCAGGTATTATCCTACAAGGCAGATTCTGTCAAGAATTGTAATGCTTAGCACAAGATGGTTTTATTTGCAACTTTTTTATTATCATACTCCTTTTTCCCCTGAATGCTGCTGTTGAATTTTTGATCGAAAATTATCAGGAGGGACATTTTCAGAAGAAAACCTGATACCATCTTATAACACCAAGGACTGTGTCTCCTACACTTCTTAGCAATTACAGAAAAGAAGCCCTATTGAGTATTTCAAGCAACATGGATGAAAAGCAAGGCAAAGCAGTTTTATACAACAGACCCCAGTGGTAATGTACTCTCCAGCTCAAGAAACCCTTTATAAGATTTTCCTCTCAATCCATTATACTCTAATAAAGTGAAACCCAGTTGCAGAAACAAAACATTGCATTTTAGGTAGAATCATGACTTGGCAGATGATTACTCGAATACACAAGTCATTTTTAAATCTTTAGCCTCTATTCATCCAATATCATTCACATACTTAGCAATACACTTGAGATCACTGTAACTTTGTTTTGTTATTTAGCACCTTCTGGGTTGAGGTAAATTGGAAAGCTTTTTAAATTTCCTTGTTTAACCATTAAAACATGTTCTAAGAAATTTCTAAAATTTCATTTGAAAAGATATAAATCTCAAATATGTGAAATGTCATAGTCTGTTGAACACTCACCTAAACCAGACTTTTTTAATCGTTTTAAGTGCTGACTTGTTTGTTTTCCAGTGGGAGATTTTTGCCCATGTTTCATTTCTTTATCTGAACTGTCTGCTTCACCATTTTTAGATTCAGATCCTAAAAAAGGAAATAGTTATTATGTCATTATCTTCCTCTTGCTGTCCTTGAAAAGAAAAATCTGAAATTGTCTTTAAAACCATAGATGTAATCTCTTTTTCTAAAAGATACACTACCTTTGGCCACAATCTGATTCTTCTACTGGATATAAAGCGAAAAGCCCAATAAATCAATCAAACAGAACAAAAACAGGAACAGATGGTCTAATACTGGAGTCAAAAACACATTTACTGATCTGATAGCTTTTAAAAAGAAACACTCAGATCTTTTGTAAAAATACACGAATAAGCTTCAACAATACTATGCTATTTTGAGATGATGCAAGACAGAGACAGAAAGATGAAGGAACAAGAGAGGCTTGCAGAGAGGAAGACATCATACTTTTATAAATAACTATGTTGATGTACGAACAGAAAATGCAAACATCAATCTATAATAAATAGAATGGTACATAGCAGAGATAACGTGACAGAAGGTAAGTTAGAAGAAAAGGTCAGGGCTGCAATGAGGTGAGAAGAATGTTGCCAGGACACAAAACCTAATAAAGGATGGCTGATTCTGCGGCAGAATACAGAAAAACAAATTCACACTCCCAGAAGAACTGCTTTTGATGGCATTACACATCAGCATGTGGTCCACCATTAAAGTTCAACATTCAAACAAAAGACAAAGCAACAACAACAACAAAATCCACCTAGCATTACCACACATTTTCTTACACCTATTGACATTAGCAAATGAAGTCCTTTGATGAAGAGTGAGCTGCTGCCTTTTTTTTTTAAGAGCAAACTATCCTATTATTTTTGAATTACTGAAAGATTCTAAGGTCTGAAAAAATGGAAGTTATTACTCAGTTTCAGAGAAAATTCGTGACTTCTCTCTCAGTGAGGACGTCTCCTCTGGGAAGAAACTGGCCAAGCATACAATATTTTAACTCTTTACCTGAAGGCGAATCCGACTGCTCATCAGACACCTTTAATGGTGTCAAAACAACACGAGGAACAGTCTTGTTTACCATCATTGAAACTCCATTTCTTCTTTTCTGCTGCTGTCTCAAAGCCTATAAAACATGATAATAAAATGTAAAAATATAGTCAAAATGATTTCTCATAATTGAAATAAATGATCCATTTGCCCATCATTAGACAGAACCTCTTTAAGAGAATTAAATTCCAAAGAATCACTAATTTGTCAGGATTTTTAATAGTCACCTTCATGTCATTTTTCCCCAAAAACATAAAATCAGGTTTTGGCAGAGGGACTAAATCTGAGACAATTTTCAGTATAATTCTGAAAACAAAGCAGCACTTAAAGGTTTATTCTACCTTAGCCGCGTGGCTTGAAAGCCCATGAATTTGAAACCACGACTCCCAAGTAAAATAAATGTAAAATAAATGTTTCAACACCAGGATAAAAATATATGTGTCTGCACTTCTCTTGCAGGTGCGTCCTCTCCAGTGCACTGCTCAGTCAATCAAGTTAACACCAAGTGTCATCAGTATGTACAGCAGGTAAGGACTACAGTATTGATGCACTCACTCAGCCGTGGGGAGCGCTGCACAAAATCACTGAACATGGCAGGAATCATTTATTTCTGTGAAGGGAATCAGTCCTAATCTTGGAAACCTTGCAGCACTTGGCTTCTGTCTGCTTGACTTTGGACATTAACCTTCAGAACACGAACATGACGGCGTTCTGGCAAATCCAGGAAAAAAAACTGATAGGAGAATAAATCTCTCCAAATGGGAGTGCTTTGTGTTTCATAAATGAATCAACCATGGTGATAATAATGCAATAAAAGACATTTAAAAGTTTTGAAATACAGCTTATCTAGCTGATCGCTTTACACAGAAAATTACCTGTAATAAAAAGGGTCTTAAGCACAAGAAACCGAAGGGCCATTAAGTTCACAGTCATAGGAATGCTAAAACTCCTCAAAAGGTTAAAAGGCTGGCACAGACAGTCTCAGACTTTTCTGTTTCTGGTTTCTATGTAATTTCTATCAATTCTATAACATCCCAATTATGTGATTAATGCTTTCAACCAGCAGTTGTCAAAGTCTCTTGAAAAACTGCATTGACTATACACCCATGGCTGTCAGAAACAGTGCTATTTTATTTATAAAGGATAGTTAACTGAATGTCCAACTTGTTGATTGGAAGATTTAGTAATGGAATAATTATAGAAGTGAAAAATTAAATACCATTTAAATGAGAGAAGACATTTTCAGATGAGATTTAAAACCAGATGGGAAAGTGCATGACTTGAAAATTCTGTTACAAATGATACTGTGGCTAGTGATAAGAAATCTTCCCTTCAACTATAAAGTACCAGGCACTGTAGAGGGACAAGAAATACAAAGATGAGTAAGATGCCATCCCCCTGATCTTTAGCCTGTCGTCAATAATATTCAATGAGAGCATGTGTGCTATAAAATAGAAGTTCACACATCATAGATTTCCCTTGAGAATTCCCCTGACAACCCAAATGGGCATTTTAAAATAATTACTTTATATTGGTGTAGGGAGATGTATTTTGGAAAATACCAGTTAAGAAAAAGAAGTAACAATAGACCTAGAAGCTGGAATCAGGAATCAAAGATGCCATGCCTTTTATAGCATCTGTAATAAAATAATTTAAATTACAAAATATTTGTCCTCCATTTTTAGAGTTGATAGAACTGTACACAGAAAAATAAGTAGCTGGACAAAGAAGGCATGACAGAAAAAATAACAGTAGTAGTAATAAAGATGACAATAATAAACAAAGCTATTTTTGATTTTAAAGAATCAATTTTGTAGATGGGGAAGGCATAAAGGAATGTTAATACTGACTCCATCTCAATGAACTTTTCATAATATGTATCCCCTATTCCAAAAGCCTGAACAATATTAATACAATATTTTTTTGAGATACTAAATGCAACATTTGTGCCTACAGGTGACCAAAATTATGCCCATCATATAAGAAATAGATTGCTTTAAGTATATTAAAGCAATTTTACTTCTGGTAAAAAAAAGCAATATATTTCACTTCAAATAACTTTTTTTTTAGGGGTATATAAGCAAACTTTGAAAGTGTTTATGTACTATGACGCCAGTTACAGCAGTAAAGCCTCAGGGTACAGGGAAAATTCTGAGGAATTTCAAAGTTCAGTTATTTGAAGGGGTATCTTGATTGGATTTACAAGATCCATAGTCATGTTAGGGTGTAATCTTAGGTTACCATGAAGATTCCAATTAACTTTCTAGAAAGTAGGATTCTGGACACCGGGGACACACTTTCAAGCAGATCAGAAAGTGGAGGGGAAAAGAGAAGCAAAGCTGTCTCAAATGAGTTGCTTAGGATAGTTTGGGCTGGTTCCAAACAAGAGAACTCTGGCATTTGTGTCAATAAAGCAGATCTTTTATCAATTTCTGTCTCACAGTGATCCCTGGTCTCTGATTGTAGGGCATGCATGCTGCAAGTAAAGAGGCTAGTTCCCCGCACTTTGGTTGGCTGTGCAATTCTATTTCTGCAACTACGTACACATCAACCACTCAAACAATGCTGAGTCTCTTTTTCACAATCCTTTGAAAACATGCAATGATTTTTGGAACACACTGGCAAGAGTAAACAGTGACAGAGGGGGATGCTGAAGTGAGTGGGAAAACACACACCTCATTGGAGAAGGCAGTAACAACTCAAGAGAAACACAACTGGACTTTAGATGAGTATTTGTGTTTTTAAATATTGTGCCAGACAGAACAAATAAGACTGAGTCAGATTCAGAGTAAGGACACAAATCTTTGACATCTGCTAAACACCATTCCCACCACTCCTCACCTTTTCAAATAAATGAGTCAGACTACTGCCAGAGAAAGGTATTAGAACCTCCCTGTTTTAATGTGCTGCCCTTCAGAGAAATGGGGCTGCTCCAGAGTGGTCTTAGTAACTGTGGAGTCATGATGAAGGGTGAGGCTACAGAGTCACAGAAAGACTTAGCTAGCTGAGTAATGTTGGGCAAATTTTGTAAGTAAATATTCCTGTAAAACACACACTAGAGTATTAATACTTACCAGATGTTTAAATAGGAAATTCACAGAGCTGTTTTTTACATAGGTTGTTGGAGGATGGTCAATGGGCCATTGGCCTTCTCTTCTTGAGGCTATGGCTAGCACTGCTGTTTACAACAGCTTATGCTTATAGTCCATTAGTCTCAGTTTTGAGTTTTAACTAAAATTCCAAGAGAACAAGACAATTCCTATTTCATATTATATTAAAAATATAGATGCTATTTCATTTGTAACCATCTAAACTTGCATATCCCATAGGCTGAAAAATGTAAATCGATTTAATAAATTAAGAAAGTAGGATTAGGAGGGCTACTTTCAAAGGTCACGGAAAGTTTGTTCTGCACAAGGGTATCCTGAAAAGAGGTTACAACTTAAGGGGGGGGTGCTTTTTTCCTACTTTTCATCAAAGGTCTTAATTAGCTAGTTGTGTCCCTATTGATCAAGCTATAACACGGTTTTATTTTGACACTGATATTATATAACGTTATTTTAGTCTAAATTCATCTTAGAGGGATAATGAGACACCTCTAACTACTCATCTTAGCTATACTCTGGAAAGCTAATTGGAATACCTTACTGAACAACTTTAAATACTGTAATTTCAGGTGAAGAAAGAAGCAATATCAAAACCTAAATAAACAAGCAGATGGTAAGTATAAATTCAGTCTATTATAAGGGAATGTTATTTTCAAGCACCCCAATACAGAGTGTACAGGACTTATCAAGTTTAATAGCCATACTATTTGGTATGAAAGAAATGTACAGGCTTGAAACTGGAAATAACTAATTTTGTAAGAAAATAAATATAAAGGAGTCAAGTAAGTACAGAAAAAGTAAAGATCATATCATAAATCAATTATAATTCTGGCTTTAAATGAACAGAAAGAGGGCCTCCCCGGTGGCGCAGCGGTTAAGCGCTGGGTTGCGAAGCTGCCCGCGGCCTCTGCCGCGCCGGTTCTATCCCCGGCTGCTCTCTGGCCACTGGAGGAGGGTCCCACATGGCACGCAGACCTCTCCTGCCGCCTGCTGCTCCCCTCAGCAGTGTATTTTGGTCCTTCTGCCTGCTCTGCTCCCCGCTCTGGCTCTGGTGAATTCTCTCACCCTCCCTTGCTTCTGACTGTACCCAGTGTATATATAAATAAACAAACAAACAAACAAATAAATAAAAATACATGCTTCTTAAAAATAAATAAATAAATAAATGAACAGAAAGAAATCAAAAGATGCTAACTGAACACACTTTTCTCTGGAGACATATGGTGATATTCCCTTTGTAAAAAGAAACAAAAAAAAATAGATATTTTATTTGTTAAACAGAAAGTTGATCAGAATTCTAAAAATATGAATTGGTTCTCATTTCTTTTCTGGAAAAAAAAATTTGAAATCACAGTGTTTTGTATTAACTTGAAATTTGCATAGGGCAAAGAAGGCATGCTTTATTTTCAGAGCAACAAGACTAACAATATAACTTAATGCACTGAATGTAGTTTAAGTCCATTACTGAAAAATATGAAAATTTCACATGCTGCAAATACTAAGATTATTAGAAGTACACACATATCACACCGCTGGCTACAACAGGCAGCAACAACCTGCTTTGTTGGCAATATGATAAATGTCAATGCCCATGTTCTCAAACTGCCACCATGCAACATAACCTTTGGAATTTCAGTGTTGGTCAAACATACAAAGTGAAAACAAAATACCAACAATATATATGCTTTTTGATATGAAGACTTTATGAATTAATTCTGTGAGATAAACCAACAGGAACAACATGGAAAGGTTTATTCTCCATGTTACCTCCCATCATTATAGAGCTCATCCTTCTTTCATCATTCGATTCTGTTATTTAAAAAATTTCAAAATTTAATCTTTCTTATTCTTCTTTGAAATTCAAAATCTAATCATTTTATTCTTTTTAGGAGTATCACAACTAGAATAATAAGGCAGAAAGAAGCCTGGGAACAGGGTAATAATCAGCAATCTGCTGCTCTCCAGAGACTTCTGAATATGCTTACTTAGAAAAAAATAACCTACTGAAATAACAATTTATTATTCATGCAATTACACCCAACATATGATGTCAAAGATCTTTTTGATGATCACAAAGTAAAAGGGACCCAAATATTTTGGAACAATGTAAATATTCTATAGCAATAGCCATGGGGGTATGATACCATCTATATTATTGTCCAGCCTATAATTGCACTGTAATCCACAGTAGTGAGAAGTAAAAGAACATACTCTTTCTATTGCTGTCTTTTAGTTGGGCAAGGGAGTAGAGAGTAGGAGCTTCAGATATGGAAAATTATACCTGTTATATTTTACATGGAGATTTGTTGCAAATTATTATTTTTCACTTTCTTTATGCTTATAAAGCTTTTGAGCTTTGCTTTTTTATTTAAATTACTTGTTTCTAAGAATCTACACTGGCCAATATATAATTGAACTTCTAAGGCCCTATTGATTCAGGATATATTTCTAGAAATATGATAAGAGGGCGGTGGCGCAGCAGTTGAGCGCTGGGTTGCGAAGTTGCCTGCAGTCTCTGCAGCGCCAGTTCGATCCCCGGCTGCTCCCCAGTCACCGGAGGAGGGTCTCACATGGCGCGCAGACCTTTCCTGCCGCCCGCTGCCCCCCTTAGCAGTGTACTTTGGTCCTTCTGCCTGCTCTGCTCCCGGCTCTGGCTCTGGTGAATTCTCTCACCCTCCCACGCTTCTGACTGTACCCAGTGCTTGCATAAATAAAAATAAAAGTAAATCTTTAGAAAAAAAAAGAAATATGATAAGAGCAAACATATTTAAGTGCCTGCCATTAATATGTTCTGATACTGAATATAAGCAGTCTGTGATCAAAAATAATATTCTTATTAGTATACTCTATCCCTTTCCTTTATACAAATATTTAAGAATGCAAATTTCCTTGGATAATGTCAAAAACTTGTCTATTGCTTTACATACCATATACAGAAAGGCAGTATTAGTTAAGAAAACAGAATCTAAAACTATGATTATGGTTTCAAATGTCCTCTCAAAAAATTATTTGTTGGATGATCTTGGGCAAATTATCTTAGTTTCCTCATTTGAACAATGGGGTAACTAGTACATACTTTAAAGAATTTGCATGAGGATTAAGTGGCACAGCACATGTAAAATGCAGAGCAGAATATCTAGAATTCAGAAAAGTAAATGTCAGCTAATGTAATTATTAGGATCATTCAGCTGACCTTACATTCATAAGATTATGATGTTTGTGTGTATGTATAAAACATTAACAAACACAGAACGGGCACACATATGTACATAATACATTTAGAATTCCACATGGTTATAGTCATTCAAAACTATCCAAAAGAAAAGAAACCTGCAAATTTGCTGAGGCTGCTACAATTTAAAATCCTGCATGTTCAGTCAATTTTTGAAATGCTGTCTTAAGAAATTCAGCAATTACAGGGAATCTGGGCAAAATTCTGCAAGAACAGCTTTTCTTCTAAATGTATTTCCAATATGAATTTGATTATTAATCAAACATTAGCATATATGGTATATATTATGTTATATTCACTTGGTAACTAATTTGTTACTAGGTTATACAATAGGAAGTTAAGAAATGAAAACACATCTCTTTTGAGACATTAAGAAGCTTACAGGACAGGCTTTTTAACAAAGCTTACTTCCTAAAGCAAGCAAATGGTACTTGCCATGAACTCATGCTGTACCACAAAACAAAATTAAACAGCCACTAACTCAAAGTTGTATAATATTCTAGCAATTGTAAAAAATGTTCAAATGCCATGAGATCAAAATGAAGAAAGTAAAAAATAATGAGACATGTCAATATAGATACTTGAGTCTTTATCTTTACATTCATTTACAGGAAGATTTCCTGGTGTACTCATTTTCTAAATCACTGCTCTTCAGAAGTATGAGTTTCATTTATGATCCCATCTGTGATTCTTAAATGCTACAACTACCAGTATCCAGTTTTGCATCTTTTGTTCTATGCTGATTAGTATTTTATTACCTGCATCCTATTTGCCACCTGAATAAGCCTTTTCCCAGCTTCCATATCATTATCCAACCTTTATTTCAACAATTAAAAAAAGATCTCAACACTGAATTCAATTTTATTCTTGGCATCTGAAACATTTCACAAGGGCAATACTATAAATAGCAAATTCACCAAAGATTATTTGACCGATGTAGGATGAAGCATGGTTATTATCCTAAATATAATGCCAATGAATGGAAATACTGCAATTTCAAAAATAAATACAGGAAAGTAATATAATTCAGTAAAACAAATGTTAAGTTTCTTTCCTATCTTTCCTTTTTTGAAGTAAAGAGAAACTGGTAGAACAGCTCCAAGTTTAGGAGATTGGTATGAATCTCTTAGAAGTTTTACAGGTTGGTGGGGCTTTTAAAGCAATTTAAACTTTACTCAAAAACCATAGTTTTCGTGTCTTGTTATAAATATATCACCAGAATATTACCTCAATTTCTGGGTTTGATAGGGTTACCAAAGAGTGGGATGGATGGGGATTGTCACAAAAAGATCAAATTTTAAAAAAATAAATAAATAAGAGGAATGCTGCCAAAGAGGGAAAACCAGGAATTTAGTGCTAAATATATGAGTTTTCCACTTTTGACATTAGTATTATCATCCTGCACTGTCCCCATTGAACCATTATTATCTCTTCCATTTTTCCCTACACAGTTCAGAATTTGTCAGTGCAGCAGCAGTAGGTAACATTTATTGAGCATTATTATGAGCCAATCACTCACTCTACCACATGCTTATTCTCAGATCACTCCCATGTGAAAGGTACTATTATTTTCCAGAGAAGAAAATTGAGATTCAGGGAAGAAAAGTGGCTTATTTGGAGTCACACAGTGAATAGCAATGATGCAAACCTGGTTGTATCACAACTCAGAGGGGAATCTTATAATTATATAACACACATATGTTCTATAAGTTATATTTATATATATAAAAGGTTACAGAATTATATATGTACATATACGTGTGTGTGTGTGTGTGAGCATGTAAGACCTTATAACTTATGGCTCCCTGCCCCCCAACAAGCAGATACCACCTCAGGGGCAAAGACACAGAGGACACAACTACTTATGCAATGTGGAGATGATACTGCAAAGTTAACCTCCATTCAACACCAAGCAACACTCACTGATGGATATACTGCATATATAAGTAAGCCAAAATTACTGATTTTCCTATTTGTAACTTAATATATCTCCATAATGATAAAAAAGTATGTTTTTTTAGGTCAACTATCAGATAAACATGAACATATAAATAGACATTATTTTCCAAATATGCAATGCATTTATTAGTGCAGCATGTTTACTATGAATTATACACACAAATCTTAATAGAAATTGTTTTATGTTTCCAAGCACATTTTTCCTATTCTATTTCATATGAAGTTCTCAGCCAAATCTCTCCTCACGCTTAGCACAGATTAAAATTAGTGTATTTGATTTTATGGAAGTGGTTGCATTCATGATATTTCTATTGCTTTCTGATTGCTAGGTTCTTACCTATTTTACTAGAGCCACAGAATATCCATCACCTTATATAGGCAGAATTGCAAAACAAAGAATGAATGTTAGCTGTCTTACCTGTTTAAGAGCCTTTTTGGTGTGTTGCTGAAAGGAAGACACTAATTTGCTTTGCACTGCTGTGTTAGTAAGGCTTGAATCTCGAGTGGAAGATGCTTCATCAGTTACCTGCTTTGCACAAACTAGAATCAGAGAGAGATAATGATATTACTAATTTGAATTCCTTTTTTATATCCACTGTAATTAACTCACTTGGAGCTTTTCTCCAAGTGAAAATGGATACCTAAAATAAAGCAAAATAGCACAATAAAAAGAAGAGGATCCAGATTTGAAGAGATCATTTAATAATTGTGTGGCCACGGTTACATTTAACCTCCCTAAGCCTCCGTTTGCTTATCCATTAATTGATTATGATTTCTAAGTCATGGGGCAATTGTACGGACATAAAAAAATAACACACGATCTGCCTCAAGAATTGAAAGACAGCAGACACTTTAAGAATCTGAATACAGAGATTGGAAAATGCATAGTATTCTGAAGACATCTAAATTAATGAAATTTGTTTAAATCTACCAATACCAAAGGTATATTGATTACTCTAACAATAACCCTTCTATAGAATCTACTGGTGCATATTTATCTTCTGCTATGGATCAAGTCACATTGCAAGGGAAAAGAAAAAATGAAATTCAAGATGCTGGGTGTCAAATAAGACAAGTCTTTTCACAAAAATTGTATCCTCTGCAGATTACAATTTAGTCTGTCCATTTTGACCAGAGTCAGGATTTTCTCTTGCCTATTTATTTATAGAAGACATTTTCTTCAAAATGTCTGTTTTCTAGAATAAACAATGCCTTGCTGACATGGATCAGCAATTCACCCATGTTCACTTTCTGCTCCATGAAATTCATGCTAGAGTCAGAACACTACTTTCTAATCTCAAACATCCCACCTGAGACACCAGGGCTAACACTGAGTGTCTGGGCCAGAATGTAGGTGCAGGCCCTTTCCTGTGCACTCTAGAAGAGAAGGAATTGCTGCGAAAATCAAAGCAAGGAATCGCTGTGAGTGATGGTAGAATGGAGGCATATGTCTAAGACAGCAGGCAAGAGGAAGTTAGATACAAGAGAAAAACTTCAGAACATACTGTTAAGACTCAAAATATGATTTTTTAAGGGCATCAAGGTTACACAAATCCAAGAAAATTTTGCAATGAACAGTAACTTAGGAGGATTCTGACCTGAGATTTAAAGGAAGGAGGAAGAGTGAAAACTATACTAGTCAAAAATGGAAGCACAGGCACATGCACCGTGCAGAGACTCAAGCTGCTTTAGATAGACTCAAACACAGATGGTCGACAACAAAAATGCAGTTCAGGAAAGAGAATGTTAGGGAAAAAGAGTTAATCAAGTTTTGTTTTAATACAGAAAGTAATCAGGAAACCAAAATGAGAAAGTTATGGAAGATGGAATAATTGGCAGTAATTAATGCCAGACACTTGACATGTACAATTCCATCTCATCCTTGCAGCTTCCTTAGAGGTGGAAAGGAATTATTTCCATATTGGAAAGAGAAAACTAGAGTTTCAGCAGCTCAGTAACTTGCCATTGTTATACAGTTAATGCTCAGTAGAGCTGGAACCCAGGGGCAGGCCCATCATTTTCCACTTAAAATACTTGGTCTGTAAGCCAAGAACTGTTGCAGAAAATCCAGTGCCTAAAGAAGCTTAATTTAACATCATGTTGGAGTTAATGAGGTCAGGGAAGACAAGATATTTTTCACCTAAAATGCAAAAATTGAGAACTATGGGCAGAGTGACTGACCCAAAGAATATTACGGTTTAAATATTTGTTCACAGAGTGAGAGAAGTTCTTGAATTAAAGATCATGTGAACTTTTTTTATTCCGCAATGACGTCTTCCTTAAATGTGCTAGTTAAGAAACATTTTATAATATGACTTGCATAATCTATAGCTCCTAAGCTTCTTCTTTGGGTTACTAATTTGTTAACACTTTGTTAAAGTTTACTTATCAAGAATTATCAAAAGTAATCATCAGTTTATATTCTCAAAGGAAAAAAATATGTTTATGATTGCATAGATATTATATAAAATATAACAAACTGGGGAGACAAGAAGAAGGTAACGATAGGATGATGATTGACAGATGTGAATGGTATCATACTAACTCAACCAGAAGTAAAGTATGAATTAGTAAATGCTTTATTACTTTCATATTTTTAGAGTAGCCTTTCCACTTGGAAAAATGTAAACTTACTAATGAGCTAGCCATAAAACAGAACCAAATAGATTTTAGGGAACTTAAGGAAAAAATGAGAATGTTTCTGCATACTAGACAACTGAATAAATTCACCAATTTGCTTAGAAATTTATTTTACTCATAAATCTTCACAAGGCAAACTTCAATAAAACATGATCAAAAAACAATAAACACCAAATCTGTGAATATGCAAAGCCCTTAATTTCCTTGTAGTATTTGACTCCTATAATAAGCAGTACACAGTCAACTGTCCTTCTGAGCACCCTAGATCTTTAATCTATGACTTTCTCTCTTTCTCTCTGACCCAGGAAACTCAGTATGATGATACTTCTGTCAGGAGCAGTGTATTTCCTGCATTATTCAGTTTAAATTCATGACCGTACTGTGTTCCTAGTAACTCACATGTATTTACATACAGTATTTCCAACAGAAAGATTCTATTCAATGTGGAGTCCAGAACTTCAAATGGGAGGGCAGGACAGTAAAGTTGAAACAGCATCAAGAAATACTATGAAGCTTTTTTCTCAAGCTGATTCACTTTCCTTTAACCCAGGTCTATTTTGCTTTATCTTCTAGCCTAGACCCAAGTGAAGTAACATGAGAATACTTTTACTTAAACGGTCACTTTCCTCCCAATCCTCTTTATGGACTTTGAACCTATGTCTGAGGCAAACCATCTTTATCTAATTATTTATTTCTAATAAAGTAATTATAAAATCTTAAAGAATGTAAATGTAATAGGAAATATAATCTGTAAATGGGTTTAAAAACAAAAATCTTAGTTTTAAGCAAAGAAAGTCAGAAACAAAACAGAGTGGGGAACCCAAGTAATGCATCTATAGACTCAAATAGTAAGACAGAGAGAGAGAGAGAGAGAGAGAGAGTCTGTGTGCCTGTGTCTGTGTGTGCATGCGTGAGTGTAGATAAGTAGTATTGACAATTATTGATCCTTAACACGGGCATATGAGTGATTTTACTCATTCTTGTGCCATGTATAAGATGAGGGTGACTAAACTGAAAACAATGAATATCTGGATTGTACAGTGCATGCAAATTCATATTCTGACAAAACACCTACGATTTATTTTTCTTCTTGCAGCTTTCTTAATATCATATGACAAAAAATAGTACAGGAATCATTCAAAAATGTTGCCTGGGTATTTATCTAAGGGACTGAGTCTGGCCTCTAAAATACAAGCCAAAGAAAAATTGTTAAAGTAAGGATAGAGGGAAATCTTGGTATGTGATATTACAACAGAAGCCAGGAAACTGAAGAATTAGGACAAATGTTTTATCCAATAAATATCAAATACTGACATGCAGCTTAGAAAATTATATCTTCTTGGCAGTCAGAACAGAATAGGAGCTTTTTTTACCCCTCTGCACTGGCAAGATCACAAACTGAATGCCAGAATTTTATACCTCGAAACCCCATAAGACTGCCTGACCTTTTTGTAAATGGACAAATTGAAGATGAGCAAACATTTTTAAAAGGTACAGAAATACTATTTCAATCTACATTTTGCTTCCCTGCCAAAACCAGGCAAGCCAAAAACAGAAAAGCTAATCTACTAGTGTTATTCAGTTAATGGAATTCTCAATATTTGCTGCTCATCTACCATGATTCTCACTCATACTCAGATTAACGAGACCCTTCTCCAAAACATTCTATTTAGAAGTCTTGGGAGTAAAGAGAGATGGATGATGGTAGATGATCACGAGATAGTCTTGAAGGCTGGAGAAACTGATGACTATGTTCTGGCAAGACTAAATTTCAGTCTCTTTTCTCTGAGTAACCGCAGCTGTCCCTCTCCCCTCTCTCATTTTATTCACCATTCAACCTGAAATGTGATGGAACTAGAAAATATGGGCTAGAGCCACTAGTTTGAAAGTGAAATGCTCTGGAGAAGTATGGGTAATAGCCTCCGCATAAATCCAATCTAATTACTAATATACAGACAGTAGTGCAAAAAGGCTTGGCATGTCACACAAGACACAAAGAATGGAGAAATCAGAATGCAATCTTGACCTTGCCTCTATTTCTAGACTAAAAATTTGCCTGCCTCCCGGTCTCCAAAACTCTCTGATCAAGCCAGTCAAGACACTTTGGTATTTTCTTGCTATATTTGTTGCACTTGCTTTGATTGCTCCTTATCCAAATACCCTCCTCTATCAATTAGTGTAGCAAACTCATCTTGGCAAACCAAACACAAACAGCTTCTACAAAAGCTTTCTTGGTGCTCATCTCTAAGGTAGACAAACCGCTTCTACTAATGTTTCCTTGAAGCTCGGTGTTGAGCTCATGACAGCTTCCTCCGTGTTGGTGTTTGTGTCTGCCTAACTACCCATGCGTTCAGCAACTCAGAGACCTATTTAAGTGCAAAGACAGGTTCAGAGCAGTTAATCTATAAATGTTTATTAAACTATAGAATTGGATTTACATTAAATTTAAAGCATTTTAAAGCTAACTTTCAACTGCTGTTTTTAATAAGAATTTATGGAAGGGGAAGTTAGCAAAGCATACTTTTTTAATTATGGAAAATTACATATAAAAGGTTAATTGTTTTATCTGAAAAATAGAGGCATTATTTTATATATATTTAAATCATCCTAAAGTCAACTAGGGGAGATATGAAAACCAAACCACAAATGTCCTATGCAAGCCAATGGGAAGCCGTACGGCCTATCACTAAATGTAGATAAATTTTCCTATGCTCTCCTTATTCATTGCCTTATTTTAGGAAGGAAGTCACAGTTTGGTGGTTTTGCATAGTGAAATAAAAATAAATATAATTTGAAAGTCCAAATTAGAAATTCCAGTGCTTACTTCAAGTGACAGGAGCTGTGGGGGCAGAGCCACAACTGAGACCAGGATACAGGCTTTATATAGTCACTGCAGCAGG